CAAAGTTGCAAGATGTCTAACAGGGAAAACGTAACATTAGCTATTTAATTACACATATTGCATAATTTAGCTAGTAGTAAAGGAATAAAGCTTGGTGGCAAGTGGCGTTCAAAAGAAGCATAAAAATATTTGACCATTATGCCGCGTTTTGAAGCATACATATAACCAAAGACTGACGTAAAGCATTGTTGACTGGGGAGGATTCAACCTCTTTAGCAAATGTTGAAAAGGAACATCCGCCAAAAGTGCGAATGTACGCAAAGCGCAATCCAGATACTTCACTGTTTTACAAAAATAAAAGGCAAAACACATGATACTAAGGATACAGCAGAACACATTTGATTAGGACGTCAGTTGTCACAATATCCTGTGTTGTGAAAACTCTACCTATCTCGTCATTTAGTGCACAAGTGTTAATTAAGTTGTAAAATTTAAATCGATTTTGAAATTAACCAATTCAGTTTTTTTATTTATTATCTCTCAATGTATAAATTAAACGTAAAAACTGAGAGGAGACTTTATTATTAGTCTCTTCTTAAAGGTGACTTTATACCTATGTTAAAAGTAATTTTATACCTATGCTAACATGGTAATGTCGGAAACATTTGAGTTGATTGTTGAAAGCGCTAGAAGGTCGAAGCAATTACCGCAGAGTCGATTTAGATCTAAAGTGTTTGTTCAATGCCTAGAAAGATCTTATATGTGTTATAGCTACCCTATAGGTACGGCATCAGATATATACCTAAAGCTTCTTCGTTCTCCTTCATTCGGGCCTCATGCTTATCTGTCATATAAAGCTATTTCCATACAGAGCTTAAGCTAGCTCAGACTTTCAACATTTCTCGTTCCGTACATTCGACTATTCCACCGATGTTCATCTTTTCAACACGTTTCCGGCCGTTTATCTTGACATGTATTCAACCTATCCAGGTTTCATGCGCCGTAACAACTGTTAATAGTACGATCCTTGGACTACTATAATCATCAAACACATTAAGAATCGGTATGGATCGTAGAGATCACCTTCTAAGTAGACATATTGAATCCCAACGTTGTCTATGTCCCCTGAGTCTAATTAATCAGCTCACAGGTTAATTTGCTAGTCCTTGCTAAGATTGATTGTGATTTCGCGTCAAAAAACATCTGTAATATTTATGGTCGTTATACAACACTACACAAATACACACTTACTAAACTTAATAGAGAAATAGCGTGTTTTTCGGAGTGATAGGGTACTGCATAAATTCGACACTATAATTATCCAACGGTTAGACCAAAAACCAATGTCCCAATTACTATGCCACGTCATCGGAGATACGAGAAGATATCGGAAGCTTCAATATGAACATTTTCTTTCTAAACGCGTTGCCTTTTTCAAGGAACGCATATTGGTCAGTTCATATGAGATTTGCGAATATTTCTTGCTCCATTAGTTACTTATAATTGTTTTTCATTATAAGATTAGAGCTGTTGAGCAATAAGTGTACATTGTTTAGGAGAATCTTTCAGTTAAAAGCAGATAACACCTTGAACAGTGAGTCATTTTCGTATATAAAAGGTCAATACGGGTGAATAGAAGACAACTGATTTATACGGTTGAACAGTGTTATTGTGAGAGCAGTAAACAACTCCTCGATCACAATATAAAAAAATAGTGGTATAAACTACGATCATTGTGCCACAAACCGAGTATCTAAGCATTTTCATAATCAGGGTCGTCTTTTTTTTATATTTTCCCACTTACAAAACATGTAAACTGTATACCGCACAGACTTCAATGACCGACAAAAGATATACCTTGTGCAGCTATTAGAAACCGATCGATTTGAATGATTCTTACGGTTAATCTCAGGTTTAGCATTATTCACTGGCATTGTCATGCTTATGTATATATATATATATATATATATATGTATATGTAGTACAATTCGGATGCGATGATTCATAGAAAGAAGCCCCTGCACTCGGTCAATTGGTGTTATCCGATCTGGTATCTCGAAGCTTCGGAAAGCCACTTGATATGTCGCAATTTCCCAAGAACACGGGAACACTGCGACACGTTAATGTGATACTGCGTCGTACTTATCTGTTACGGGTAATGCATTACAATTAAATAAATTGAGCCAAAAAAATATTTCTACATCCATCAATTAGTGGCCAGTGCTAAAGTGTGTTTTTACTAAACTCAGGAATATGTGAGGTGGTCTAAATTCAGGACCGCGCATAGACACAGTTCACTTGGTGTTGGGAAAACCAGGTGCTAGCCATTGTAACAGTGTTAAACGTATAACTCAAATCATTTATCCACCCTTTCATGCACAGACTAACAGTCTTCCGCGTTGATTTTTCTCCTAGATTATGTCCTTGTCAGGCTATCGCAGTACCTTGCACCTAAAAGAATATGAATTCATTTGCCAATTATGGAAACATTACCAAATACAAAAAAGTGAAGAAATTACATGTGTGAAATATTACTTTTTAACTCCAAGTGTAATGTTTTATAGACCCTGTTTCACCACCTCCTGAGCCAGTTTTGGGCAACGGAGTTTTTATGTGTAAAGAGCTCAAAATGTGTAGCAATACTTTCAAAAAGTTTTTTTTAACTGTAAATACAAAACTTTGCAGCGTGCTTAGAAACTAAATTCAGGAAAAAAAAAATTCTATGTGTATCTTACATGACTCGAAAGTTCAGTTAAAAAATGTTAGGGGAATTTGAACGCCGTTTACATAGAGAATCGTGCAGCGGCATATTCTTCTTTGAAAAACAATGGTATTCACTGCTGGACACTTCGAAGATATGCTCAGCTGTGATTTGTTGTTAGTTCTAAGATTGGGTAATAAGGTACTTAAAGTTTCTGATACTAAATGATTGTATCTCTCTTTCAGATAATGACTCTTAACTCCTAAATCAATCAAAGTGCTTGGTACAAGGCTTAGTAGTTAAGAACCGACCTCCACAGCTGCTAAACCATTTCAAAGGCACGTAATGCAGAACCACCTACATCTAGGAGAAACACTTCTCTGCCGTGCAAAAGCGACCGATTATCGAAAACAGCAAGGGATGCGTGACTGCGTTTTTTTAGAATGTCGTCAGAACAACCCGACTTGCCTGATCCGAATCGCACATGGGTGCGTCCTTGAGGAATCATCAGATTTCTTCACTCAGTTGCTTCAAGGGGCAGAGCGTTCTGGGAGTACGGAACAGGGCAGACCGGCACTTCGGCTTGAAATATCTGTCAACGTTATCGATCTTTTATTAGAATACATCTATACCAACTAGATAATCCCAATCCCAGCTAGTCAAATAGTGCAGCTCGTCGTAGCCGTCAAGAAACTTCAAATGCCAGCGCTCATTGAGCAATTACATGACTATCTGAATCAAAATCTACACGCATGTATGCTCGATCCAGAGTTCCTTAATGGGTCAAAACATACAGCTGAATGATGTGGCCTGCTTAGGTGAAATACTTGAGAACTTAAGTCTTGATGCAGAGTTGAGAGGCGAGCTTGTCGCACAAATATGGCACTGGCTTGACAGTGATCCAGTTAACAATACACAGGCTGGAGAAAAATTAATTAGTCAACTTAATAATAATTCATGCTCCGGGGTCGACTTAGCAGTGAACGATGTGTATGACAAAGTGAAGATGAGCACGTGTGGAATATTACCTATGGAGGTTTTCCGACGGCAGCGCTTACTCATGAAAAGATACCACTCGACCAGAACAAGTCTCTAAGTCTATATTGTGTCGAAAACTACAGATGGTTTGTGCAAGCCACTAGAGATTGTCGACGGTATCCGCAAATATGTCAAGTGTGGCGGAAACTGGCCAATGCTCGATATAATGTATAATCCGGCAGCTTTAAGAGAAAAAAAAGCTGTTTGTTGTAGAAAGCTATGGCATAATCGTCATCGACTCTCCGGCCGGGCAAAATATTCGAGGGATCACAACATTCGGAGACGACATTTTAGTTTGGACTCGAAATGGAGATATACTTTTTATCTATAACGCTAACGATACAATTACTGTACTCGTGGAAATTGTTAGATCTATTTGATGGAGAAAATCACAAGCATCTGCGAATACTCAAGTGGAATGAACAAACTTTCGAATTTCTTTTTGTTGAGACGACTTCTTAGGCGATTAGTCAGCAATTCGCGTGGAATAATTGTGTCCGACGCTGAGATTTACCTGTCTGTCAAAGTAAAAGAAATGATACCGATCGGGACGCATGGCGACGACGAAACAGTTTTTATAGTTCGTCATGAAGGTCAGAACGACCTATTTCTAATTGGTGTTCGAGGGGGGAATTCAGTGTGAGAGAACTCTTATCCTGTAAATGCTTGTATGCTGTTGACGCAATACAAAGTGGGAACTTAGCGTTTTTAACATTAATCACAACAGCGGCGCGATGGGAGCTCTTAACGATCAATTTGGACACCCAAAATAAGAGCACATTTGAACTCAAATCAGCTAAGGATCGAGTCACTTTAATTCCTGTTATAAAAAATAAGTATCTTAATGGGTTCGATAGAAACATGGATAGCTCAGACATGGGGCACAGGAACCCCACTGCAAGCGCCTTCAGCTTTAGAATTAGAGGTCCTTGCTTACCTTAAAAAGCGACTGCGATAAATGATAGAAAAAAAAGCTAGCTGTATGCAGAATGTACGATAGAATGATGATGAAAACCTAAAATATATAAACGGTAAATTTGGATTCAGGAACGCTGGAATAAATCTCACAGGTTTAGGTTAGCTAGACTACTTGAATTGTGTATTATTAATTTGCACCTATGCTATACATAATATCAACTACTGACATATAACTCTGTGGAAAAGCCGCTAAAAATCTACATCATGGAAAAATGAAAGAATTCTCTATACTTCGAAACATGAGCCTAGAATTTCATACTTTATATCAACAATAGTTTACGTAGCTGGGATCAGACGCTCATGGCGAGATCCTCCAAGTTCGTCTCTATGTTGAATTACCGTTTTTATAGAGCACTTGTAGAAAGCGTTTGGAATGCGTGTAAAAACTACAGGTACAAATGAAATACGTCCTTGGACAGGAATCAGTGAGCTAAGACTTCCTATATATGTTGCAACTAAAAAAACGCCTGTTTTTCCAAGGTGAACTACCTGTAGGTCTTACTTTCCGGTACTTTATCTTTCGCTGTGTTTCACCTGCAGACCTTACCACTATTAACAGTACGCAATTATATACACTTTATCGACCCACAAGCCCGCTTCCTCGGGTTTTCAAAACAACTTCGTAGGCTTGCACCTGAATAAAATACGAACAGAACTAAGGATTGAAATAGATGTCCGCTTATCTTACACATCCATACACGGGTGTGTAGTACATTCTCAAACGGATGAACCTATAAGCTACATAGGCAATCATTTAAATCTACTCTATCGGTACAATTTCTCGGATCTCTGCGTCAGCTCACAGTTGCAATGGCGTACGTAAACCTTTATCATATTTGCACCACATAATATAGAAATATGTGTACAATATCGCATAATACTTTTCGAAAACCATGTTACGTAAAGCAATGGTGTTTTCGTATATGCTTGATGTATTCTTTTATTGTCTGCAGTTGTAAACGAGTCTTCTGGAATCTTATCTGTTCACCTGCATTACTAACTCGTTATCTATAGTTCGCTTGACGGAAGCTTCCTATTTGGAAATCATTTGGATTGATCTATGAACTTATCTGTGGATTCTTTTTTTTTCGACCTACACCGTAATTAAAGGAAGTGATAAAATTACGCGTTGCCTTAATAAAAACACGTATGACGTCGCACATCCATTAGGACTGCGATACATACGGCAGCATTTCGATCTATATCTTATAGTAATAACAGTTGCCCCTGATATTAATTGCGAGTGTGAACAGTAATTACTGCCCAAATTTATTGGGCACTGCCACTTTCTCTTTTGTTAAACGCTGTTCTCTATCCTCGTCCTTTTTTGCCGACAGACACGTGTAACATTTAAAAATTGCTAAACATGACTAACATGTCTAGCAATTTCCAAAAAAAAGTCAGTGAAGTATGGAAAAATAAGGAATACATTAAAAAACGTTCTTTGCACTAGGTTAAAAAATTATCTTAAGAATGCTTTCGGAATTTATTTATTCGGAAAGTCTCCGTTTGCCGTCTCTACTAACAACACACCAGTTGGACAATGACTGGATTTTTTAAGGTACATTTGACAATACAAAACAACAATATGCTGTCAAAACATTAATGCAGTCATTTACCTCCTCTAAATACCCGCCATAAAAGCGAAGGGTTCTGACACGCGCGCAACTGCATTCTGACAAACAATGTCTCGTTGCCACGCACTTCTTATACTATTGCCTATCACTTACACGATAGTATATATAAAATTACTGATTTAGCAAGTATTTTGAGCAGAAGTATTTATGCCAAAATGAATTGCCAAATCATTAGTTCTCTGGTTTCAGTCCACGCAGCTTGCGGTTAAGCTTAATCATTAAAGCCATTACATGTTGTACATTAGGTATAAATTTCTTCAATAAATTTCGGTGGCAACACGGTGCATTATTATACTGTGTATGTAAAATATAAAATATTCTATATTTAAAAACAGTCAATGAAACTTCGTAATCCAACACAACATAGTTTAAGAACAGAAGCTGCATCTAAGAAAAAAACCCATTTTTTGTTTGACCGTCCTTAAACCGCCCTTCCAAATAGCACATTCAGCACGTGTATATAAACGTCTTTTAAACACAAGGAAAAACAAGTCGCGATTCATTTATAGGGGTATGTGGAAAATAGTTTCCTGTCACGTACAATTTACTTTTCCTCTCGCTTGTCTAAAAGCTTGAGCATAAAATGATAGTCTGTACTGTAACTTGTAACATTTTTGTAATGCTAATGTATATCGCTCGGCGCTGTGGGCCAAACAATATCGTAAGTTGTGTGTCGCTCAACTTGAGCCTATCCCTATTGGGTCAAAAATAACACTGTACGTATTAGTTATTGACGATGTTACTTAAAGCTACGAGCTCTAATTAACGACTTGCTGCGATTATTGGTATTAACTCTGATCTTAAAATCCAAAAAGGCATTTGTATTAAAACGACGGCAATCGTAGACACGTTTTTAAGACAACGTTCGATTAATGCCAAAGTTGTAGCAACTGTTCTGATAATCAAGGGTGAATTTATGGACCATTTGTTTCACTTGTCCAACTACTCGTACATTTCGAAGGCCATCACTACCCTCTTTTCGCATGTAGAAACGAAGCACTGATAGCGAAATAACCCGAATAAAAAGTTCGCGAACAAATAGTATGTTAGGTAATGCTGTTTGTTCACTCGTTGCGGTACAGCTGGACACATTAGTTTTTACATGTCCAGTTATTAAGTATCAATTAAGCATAAAAAATAATTTTTTAGTCCTATTCTTTAGGACGTGATACTGTGCTAAGGAGTTGAAAACTTTTTCGCAAGCCCTGCTCACGAAAATACCGATGTCCACAATCAGACCGTTTTTTGACAACTCACACACAGGCATCGCCAGTATTCTAGTAAAACGATATAGTGAGCTTTGTTAGCTAAACGTCACTCCTGCACATCCCATATCAACCGACCAGAATTGGAGGCCTTCTTTGATGAGCAGCTCTCGTAAATTATCCGCCTGTGAAAAGCAAAACATTGATTTAAGAGAGAAATGTTGATTGGTACGTACACGTTACGTGATTTTGTGTTTCTGCATAGTTTTAAGAGCATGTTAAAAAGGACGTCTATAGTAATATGGCAAAAAAAATCAGCCGAAGACTCGCACGTAAATGCGTGCATAAAATGTATAACTCTGAATTACAGAAACTATTGTAATTGAAAAACAAACCAAACATGTCCTATATTTACCCTGACATCATTTGTCTTCACTTTTTCAGGCTCCCCAACACCGAGTAAAATGAATCCGCAACCACCTCCCCCGGCGCCAGTTAATTTCGCCGAAAAACCTACTGTTCCCGCTACGGTTACGATACGATCCAAGATTGGATGACCGACTCCAATGGCGTTCAGTAAATGGTGGTTCATTGAAATCAGTTCCTGTGCGAAATAGACGACGATACTTACTAAAAGCTATACAAATATCAAATCATAAATCACCTGCTATACTTCATTCTCGTGAGTAAGGCTGGGAAACCCTTTATTTCTTCCTAAATAAGACACGTGTGCCGTCCAAACACCTGACTGGCATTGTTGAACTTCAGCGCAAGGCAACAGCCAATTAAGTAAAATGAATAAAAACCTTTTCACTAGCTAAAGCTCTCCAGAGCCAAGAGCCCTTTAATGAGAAGTAATACATGTGTCTGTGATGATTAATTTCGAATTGATGGGTTCAGAGAAACGGAAAGAATTTCTTTTCGTCAGCGATTGGGTGCAGCAAACTGGTGTTTAAAAGAAAATTATTCAACAGTTTCTTATTTTCTGCAGCTTACCGCAGCAAACTCATAAAGCTTCTGATTGGTCTTGACTTCCGCTTTGTCTTTAGTCGCCAAATCCGCTGGTGCCGCGGCAGTGCCTTGCCCTGAAACACTATTCGCCTTTAGCGTCCGCCAAGTTTGCCAGGCGATCTCATCCATTGCCTCAAAGGTGGATGCCATTATTGTAGGCTGCCGTTCGACCCGTTCCTTGACGTGTGCTACAAGCGCCCGCGTGTTGCGTGGCACTTGTGTATTGACCAATAGAACACGATACAACGGGACACTGTTGAAAAACCAACACATGGTATTAGCCGTTCCGATAAAATTTTGACTTAGCAATCTGATTTGATACACACATGTTAACATAGCCAATTCAATTATTGCCAACTTGCCTAACGATTGCAAAAGATAAAAATATGTCGACAACTGTGATATAATCATTACGAACTTCGAATTGATTTCTTGGATTCGGCCTTTTTGAAAGAGCAACGCTCCGCCAAAGGTGCAGATCGAGTTGTCGATTCCAGAAGGTTTCCCATGCAGAATCACTTCCGATTGAAATGCCCACTTGCTAATGATCTCTAGATCCTGCAAATAACGTCAAACGGATAAAATTTCTACACAAAGATTTGTAAACTTTTTCCTTGTAATTTGTAAGATTTTATCAAAATTACACAGTCTTACAGATTAAAAATCTTTCTGAAACTCGAACGAATACTTGCTGAGAACGTAAATGTGTCGGAGAAAATTTTACTTACTTAATAAATTATCTTACGTTAGATGATGTACCTCTTTAGCAGGAACCCCTCCTTTCGAGGGAACGACTTTAAAGAGTCGCAAAAGTGAAGCCGCCACAGCCACTGAATACGCCGCTGATGAACCCAGACCAGCACCAATTGGCAAGGTCGAATGTATAATCAGTTCAACTGGAAGAAAATTTTTGGGGCTAATAAAACCAGAGCAAAAAAGAAAATTAAAATCAAATATTTAATGGAGCAAAGTTGTACATAATACAGCTTTTTGATTAACTCACGGAAAATGTACAATTCTAAAAGCGTAAAGTGCTGCACAGAAACGTTGATAACATGCTCATATAGGTAAGAATAGGAGCCTTATCCTCGGGAGATTTCGCGTTAGGCACACGAAATTGTATTAGCAATAATACGCTATTGTTGCATTATATAAAGGCGCAATAAACATTTCTCTATCTAAAAGTCTCCTCAAACAAGTGCTCTGTCTAGGTTGAAAGATGTCGTGTTGCGGAAGTGCCATACATATATATATATATATATATATATGGTGAACGTAAATGAAGCTTCATAAGTATCGTAACGATTAAAGAGCTAAAGATGCTGATAAGCTCTGACCAGAAAAAAGGTAATGTGGATAGGTTACATTTTTTCATTTCTGGATGTACGCAAATAATAATTCCACCGGTACAGAGAAGCCACCTAACCCTAATATATATATACATGGCACTTCCGACATCAATATTAACAATTGTTCTTTGATTTATCTTCAATTCACACAAATTATTGTCCGTTAAGACAGGAGATAGAATTTCGAGATAGAAACTCGAGAAACTATCTATGGAAAAATAATGCATGTAACAACGGACGTCATATTTGTACTAAACATTTATCACCTGGCCGCAGGCAAAATCATATCATTCCAAGAACTTGTTTTCACAAACTAATATATTTTTTGTCGTTCTCCGTATCCTCCTGCTTCAGAGTTTCTACATTTCACCGACATTAATAAAGTTGTTATTATTATTAATAAAGTTGTCCGTTAGAACAACAACTGAAAAATTCAATATCTGATTCTAAATAGCTAAAACTGATGCACAAAATTCATCAATATTTGATGTCTTATTAGCGAACCTTTTGGATTGCTTCTGGGCGATACCATTATAAAGGAACAGAAACGTAACCAGGCTTCCGTGCCATTTCGTGTCGGACCCAATATTAAAAGTACTTCGAAGGCACTTAAGAATGTCTTCGGATGGAATTGCCACTTCGCCATCGCCTGAAATGTCACAGTATATGCAACATTGTGAACCTGTAACTTGCGCCACTGTATACGGAAAGAATATTAGAACCCGCCAATGAAAGTCATCATTAAAAAACCGTGCAATCAGTGTAGTTATACAGGCACATTCTACTGCAGAACCCTTAACTTGTACACTTCTAATAATAGGTTTTTTTTTGCATAGCCTACCAAAATTGACATCGAGTTTCTTAAACTCATCGAGCCTCCACGTAAACTTTTGCCCGAAGTCTTTTAAGTTCAGCGTTACATCTTTTGAAGATTGCACCTCAGCCTCCGTACGTAGGCCAATGGCCGCTGCCACAGCTGCCTGTAGAGAAGTCATCGTTCATTATAACTGAAGCAAAACATAATAGGAGGCGACTGGGCCTCAAATTATTACTAAATAGTTAGTTTAAAATGATTAGAATTGCAAGCATTGTCGCGATATCAGTCAATAACAAACATTGTATTGCGCTGTTATTAAATTTATTACTATAAACTTCCGGAAAACAAACATGAATAAACTTCGGCTAAGATAACTCTTTTGCTGCATCATGGAAAGGAACTGATCTGCTCCATGACGCGCAAACTGCTGACCAGCCTTTAAGTTTAACCTTAATATTCAATTTTGCTACGAAATACATTCAGATGCAGAAATAACGTACAATATGTAAATTTTTATCTTTAGTTGAATTTATACCAATAAAAACAAGTGTGTTTCCATTGAAAGAGTCTTAACGCATATTATATATGCGTATAGATAATTTGTGCATAAAAAATGATGCAAAGCTCTTCTACTGCTGAAACTTACCTTTCCATAGACGACAGAATGCTCCCCGTGAAGTATGACCTTTCCCGGAACACTAACTTTAAACTCCATTTCTAACCTAGTTGAGCAGAGTCACAACTTCATTTGACTTCGTTGTGACTTCGCTTTTAATCGACCTTAAAGAATAGTCAATTATACTGCATATAAGATTGTACTAGAACGTAGTAAGAATTGACTGCCCTCCCAAGAGGGCCCACAGCACTGTAAATTCTGTGTACGCAGCAATTTAAATTCAGTTAAACGACAAAATCATAAAGCACATTTGTCCTATAGAGCATGTATGAAAGCCTAATAATACAAAAAACAGTTCTCTCAGTGATCTTTATGCTCTTTTTTCAAGCATGACGTAATCCCGTCATCGTTTACAATCGTTCCATAAGAACTGACTTCACGGTAAATAGATAAATTAATTAATCTCGTAATAGAAGTTTGTGTTAAAAAAAAACATCACGATTGTTGCGTGACGTAGTTATCCTTAATTTGAGGGCACAAAAGCGAGTTGTGCTCTAGAACCGCGTTTTTCAGTACGAGCATCATTGCTTTTTGATGGCACTTTAATCACTCGGAAGTTCTGTTATGCACGTTTTTAGCACTATGATCACTGAATAATAGACAGGTGTCGCTGGTAACCTATGTGCCTGAAAAGACCGGCACATTTGACTATGCTTAACACCACTACCATAAATATGTTAAGATTATAATACAGCGTCTGTCAGGAGTGAGACTGACCTGTGTCTTCTTTTCTAACGATGCAGAAGAGTGCTGCCTTGAACTGCATTGGCGTTCATCAGTAGCTATTTTTCCTTCCTGTTGGATGCACAGACAGCATCGGTTTCGCCGCTGCCTTTCCGTCTGCCGTTCGGACGGCGTCGGGGCTTACACGAAAAGTGGAAAGGAGCACCTAGTTCCTCCAGTGCCACGACCATCCGCGCTGATATTATCATATTGTAACACGATCTGTAACTCACTCAGCTGGTTTTCTGTGCTTGATAGTCGATTTCTACCAGTTGATCGCACGTTCACCATAATCGCCTCACCTAGTTCTACTTCAGAACAGAAATTTAATTAACGATGCACGCATGTGAGGGCTGGTATCCGTCGGTCAAACAGTTGACGGCGCTTGTATGTATTAATACCGTAGTGATATTATCATTTTGTTAGTATAGTAAATATGCGTAACTATGATTTTTTTTTTTAACTACGGGGTTTTTGCGTTAGCTTCAAGTCAGCTGATTGACTGCTCCTGCATCGCCTCCGGATGCTGAGCCCGTTACTTTTTTAGCTAAGGCTGCTGGCTGACAAAACACTGATTTGTTCGTGTGTTGCTTTGTGGCATTCGGCGAAGGAACGGGAAAGGGTCATTGAATGGGCGAGCTGCGTTAAACTCGAGGGTAGGGTTTTAAAAATGAAAGTGTTTACAGAGAGCGGACCCAGCGTTATTAGAGATTGATTGCACTCGGCCCATGGTGCATTTGTGGTTGACGTATTTGCCTATCAACCACAAAGACACGTTGTGGTCGGAGTTCGAATCTGAGCACAGTCACACTCTGTTTCGGCGAAAGCTAACCGTCTGATGGCATGCTTGACGGTGATACCAGACATAAAACTCAGAACAAAAAAAATGTAAACCCACTATTAAGAAAGAATAAAGGTGCACGTGCATAGAGTGTAAAATTAAAAGCAAAATTGTAAATGATGCCAGCTTTCTTATCTAGATTTCAACTTATGACCAGGGCAGAAAACATCATACGCTTGTACGTGTTACGTCATATTGATTGTCATGATCCCTTTGTGCGTATACCAACAACCATATTACCTAGCAAAATATTAGCGATTGATCAACAAGCTAAATACTGTCAAATAAAAAACATTCTAATTTTCACATGCAGAAATCTGTTCTATCAACAATATGTTATGCTCTTATAGTTGTTTGACTAATTTTGTACTTTTGAATTCTAACAGGTGTTCGTTCTTTGACAATAAAATGTGCTGAAGTAAGTTCTGGGGGATCCATGTGTCGCCTTATTTATGCTCTATTTTTACAACAATTAGGTCCGATATGTGCGAGCCTAGCATACCCCTATGTTATGGACTTATTAAATATGTTATTATCCTGTTATTTCAATCATTATGCATTACAAACACGAAACAAAATTCTCTAAAGTAAAAATATTGCTGAGTTCACACATTTTTTGAACCTAGGAGAATTGGCGGGAACGAACCGCATGACGTTAGTAAACAGACAGCCTGCTAAAAGACATTTATCAACTCCGTACCTATAATTTATGTTTGTTAGAAAATATTAGGGAATATAATCGATCTTTGTAAGCGATACTTAGCAATATTAAATACGCATATATTACATAGCATATGAACCTAATTCAACGAAAAGTTGCGTATCTGACGGTAAGCAGACGCCAAACATTCAGATGCTATCATTGCTATCATCATGCAGCTACTGTTGATCATTTTCTCGGTCTGGTCACCAGCTCCATATACGCAGAAGAGTACTATATATAACTACAATTTATTTAAAGTTAAATAGCTAAAGACGATTACGATTCCGCTTGGTTGATTGTATGGAATGCATCTATACTTTGCATTTCATCGAATCAATGCGTCAATGCATCCAGCAATGATTATTAAAGAGCAATTGTTAGTCCTATAAGGTCACCAATACCTATCGCCTTAACTTGGACAAAAGATATATTAGTATCATGCCATGCAGCTATTGTTACCTGACACGAGACCTTTCGCCTAGGTTGTAGAATTTCATTTACTAAAAAGTACGATAATGGTGTCGACCCTAAAAAAGGAAATTTCTCTCATGAACAAATAAATCTAAGTTAACAGCTAAGACGTTAAAATATTCCATTTTTATTTTGGTTAGCAATTTTATATTAACTTTGAAAAGCCTAGGAAGGAAACAGTTTTCATATGTAAATGCTTTAGGTTCCTACTAAGAACTGCCATTCGTGTTGCTTGACAGAATGGTAAGTACCATAGAACATTTGGGTATGACTATATAGTTTTATGAGACAAGAAGGGACGAGTGACTTCTGAAAAACGGTTATATATCTGATAAAACCTAAATTATACATAATTTCTGTCTGCATTAAATGATACTTCACGCTCTTCAGGCGGGCTAAGGAGAGTTAAAAGTGAATCTGAAATATGCTGTTAGTGACGGTCAAGCTTGCATTCATTGTAGTCTATTGCCAACCGCTTAAATTTCATCGTATCAATTATACGCAGTAACTTCTTTTAGCGTTGATTTCCGTTTGTGATAAAAAGATTTCGTCTCACAACTATTTGTTTGTTTTGATGTAACACTTTGCGCGTCGTCAATAGTGAAAAATGAAACATTCGATATTTTGAAGATGGCTTTAGCGATCATCGTTTTCGAAGCTTTGTCTACAACATCCTACCAAGCCTATTTTTCAGGACTCGCAGAACAAACCTGCCTTTGCTTAGCAGTACACCGCCTTTCAGATGTATCACAGTACAATTGTACAATGTTTAGGTGCAGAGGATACTTGTAAGAATTCAAAAAAAAAGGTATGATCGAACCTCAATCAAGGTGTCCGCCTTGTAAGACCTTTAAAAAAGATTTCCGTTGTTCATCATGATAATTCCAAGATTTCTCGTTTTTGACGTCGTTCTTCTTTTGTTTGTAGCTAAGGTATCTTACTTTTTTGAAGAAAAAGACTTGGAAATCATCGTTGCTGCACATAAAAAATAACAAGAAGGCACATATTGAAAATTATTTTTGGTCAATGTGTTATTGTAATTAACACCATTTAGTAAATGAACTGGATTCGCTGTAGACGGTGAGAAATAGAATATCGTATAGAACAGGATGTAGAAGAACAAAGTTTAAATCCAAATTGTCTGTATATGGATTTATTGATAGTCCTAGTGTCGTTTGACTAAGAGATTTCATTGACTCACACGCCTTTTCTAAATATATCTATTTGTTTTTTTCAGCAAATTTATATATCTACCCAAGAAGGATTCTCATGAATAATCACTTGTTTGGTAGCTACCTGTATATTATTAGAAATTGGGCAATTAGGGTTATTGGATGATTTACCTCCCAAGGAATAACCGGTTTTAGGCAATATACCAAAATTGTGCACAGAGAGAACTCGGTCGATTGCATTGAAAAGGCTCTTGGGCACTGGTCAGCCATTTGAAAAATTATGTATGTTCGTTAAAGCTTTTTGGCTAAACATTGTAGCTTTTCATTTGTGTGCTGCTATTATTAGCTTAAGCTTACTGTTTCCGGTCTCCATTACCCGACCTTTGATAAGTAGCCCTCCACAACTTGAAATGGTCCAGTTGATTTGTTCAAAGAATTGTGTCATCTCAAATAATTGAAATCTCAAGTATTAATCACTTTCTCTATGGTGCCTCAGTACACATGTTCGCTTCGGCCTTCGTGCCTCTCTTTTTAAATAAAACAGTCTCTTCAACTTCATTAAATTAACTGTCCTGTTGAGCCACTCTCTTCCACTCTTATCTACATCACTATATGATCTCGGTAGCTTTATCTACCTGTATATCACTGTCTGTTGGTAAACTATGGTTTGAGTTTAATTAAAACCCTTTTTCCCCTCCCGATACATTAGAACGCAGACGAGTTTCTAGAGCTTGCAAGATAACCCCGAGGCCATAAAACTAAACCCAAGCCGTAAATAGAGAATTTGCAAATGCTTCTAGAGAAATCGCATTTAATTAGACCATTTTGTGAGATGAACGAACTGGACTCTAATTTTACACTAGATGATTGCGCGGGCCACGTTATTCAGCTAAATCGGCGAAAACTTACGAATGGGTTCGGAAATGTTAATGTATTGATGATAAACATATAATCTATTTAGGCTTAGATTAGTATATCAAAATAAATTTCTAGCAATGTTTACGAAACTGCTATATAAGTTTTGATAATATTTACACAAATAGGTCTAGAATTCTTTTTTGAGAGAGCGATTTTGAAAATTGTATAAAAATACATGAGTTCCATATAATTTTTGTTTAAAGCCGATAAGTTTTTGACACTGATTTTAGTCACTGTAGTAATAATGTAGTCCCTTAGATAACTATTTTTCGAGGTAAGTCATATAATATTTGGTAGCAACATATTTAATTCGGTTATATCTGTAATATGTTTTGTAACGAGTTAATACATTTGGCTTGAATGTAGATTTTTTTATAAAGTTTCAATTAATCTATGTGCTGTACAACATTATCATCTTTTACAGCCCAACACTATCTAACAAAAATCTGGTTAGTCTATTGCGCTAGAGTCTAAGCTAGCCTTGAATATGATCCTTTGGCGAACTAAGGCGTTATCAATAAATTTTAAATACTTAACTTGTCATCAAATAAATTGGAGAAGTAAAGAACTATTTTAACCTAACATTCTGCCGAAGCCTCGTTTGCTTTCTTAAACATCTGCTTTGTCCCTTCGTATGTAAGTCATCTTATTATTATATCAAGATATATTGTAGATGACATCGCAATTAAAGCGTTATCGCATTTTTGTATTGGCATATGTAGAATTTTGGATCATGTGGCACATAATAGGAAAGTGTTTCTATTCGTCGCGCTGCTTGATTGTGTCAATCGTTAATTCGACATGCTTCACTTGCTTGGCAATTCTATTGCAAAGACAGAAGGACTGAGAGACTTTAAAACTAACATAGATATTGCATACTTTGTTGCAAAATCATAAATGTACTGTAAATGTCTGATTGCACGGTAGATCAACTTAGTCTAGAGAAAGCAATCTTTAGTCTAGATCCCTATGTAAACTGTATTAACACTAGTTGTTTGTCAGTTGTGTGTTATTACACTGTGAAGTTATTGTGGTATCGAAATGATAAAAACTGATTTTTTTTTTTAGAATATGAGAGTCCTTAACAACGACAAGAAGTGTGTTATTGTTAAGATCTGTCCTGCTTGTTCTAGAAAAGTACCTGTGTATAAGAACTCCATCTCTACTACTTTCGTATGTTTTTTGATTTTTTCTTAGAATTATGGAATTATAGAATCAATAATCTTAAAAGTATGGATCAAATGTTGCTCCTTTTTTTGAGTGCTATATTGCCATTCTCGCTGCACAAAAAATTCGATCAGATTCTGTCGTCTCAACATTTAGAGAATAAGTGAGTCAGTTCTCAAACTTTTTTAATTGTTAGTGGCAATGAAGTAACAAGAGTTACCGGCAGAAATGGTGCTCAATTACTATAGGGGGCTTTTATCAAAACGGCATTACCTTTTACAAAAAACAATTTTCTCTAGATGCTTTAAATAGAAAGCCATGCTCCGCTATCTAAAGTTGCTATGGGACAACATTAAATCGTTCATGAACAAGTAACAAAAATGTGTGTAACACATTTGCGGA